TAATATTAATGTTCAAGCAAATGCATCTTGGTATTCACTGGAGTTCTTAAATCTCCCCTTGATTGATAATACTACTAACACAGTGTTACACTCTTGTTTGCTTAATGTGAACAGACTGTTGTTTTTTTTTAACCTGAAGGGAATGATAGCTTGTATTTTTCTTGATTGTGTTGACAATTTTTGTTGACAGTGTAATTTTCAAGTTAGAATTAATGAAAGGCATCTGAAGAGCCCTCTTGCATGGCAAATCCAGAATTGGAAATACAGTGTGCAAGCTTATAGCCCATATTCTGTTTAGAGTGAACTTGATCTTCAGTTGAGACTAAAAGATGTCAGATCTCGGTTCTAGAAATGTCCTAATATTAACTGTGTAATCACTGCAACTTACTTAACCCCTTCTATGACAGGGTGCTGTTGAAAGAGCAAAGGGCATACATAGTGTGTGTTTTCATTCTTCAACAAATATTTATTGAGCGCCTATAAGGTGTCACTTTCTATAATACTAATAGTAATAAAAAACATAATATTGAGTACTTACTATTTGTTAGCACCTAATAAATAAATACTATCCTGAGTGCTAGATGTGCAACAGTGAGCAAAATAAGCCTGGTGCTTTCCCTTATGGAGCATTATACATGGATAAGATGATAATGCTATTATTTTTATTTGAATCGTGTCAGAAAGAAAACTTAGCATCAGTACTTGAAGATCAAGTAATTTTGTTCTGAGTTCTGAGACTTTTTCACCTGTCAGAGGTTTGCATGTCAGTTGGCCAGTCCATTCTGACCCTGCATGATCAGAGTAACCTGTGTTTTTCACCAGAGCATCACCCACCCAGCTCCATAAATGACAGACCCAAAGGGCAGACGCAGCAGGTACCAGAACCCCACTAGAGTGAACCCTGGTCTGTGGAGTGAGCCCCCACACAACAATTCCTCCACTGTAGTCACGACCAATCCTCACAGCCAGTCATGTCAGTCCGAGGTTCCGTCCCACCCACTGACATGCCAACAGCAATCAAGGCTCAACTATAGCAGGAGGGCACACACAACCCACACAAGGGACACCCCTGGTGCACCTACTCAGGTGATCAGAGAGACTGTGCTACTGGGCCTCCCAGGACACCACATAAGGCCACTCTGCTAAGACTCAGAGACATAGGAGATCTGCCTAATACGTGGGAGACACCAAAATGTCCCAAATGAAAGGACAGAACAGAACTCCAGAAAAAGAACTAAATAAAATGGAGGCAAGCAATGACCAGATACAGAGTTCAAAACCCTAATTATAAGGATGCTCAATGAATTCAAGGGAAGACTAGATGAACTCAGTGAGAATTTACACAATGAGACAGAAACCATAAAAAAGAGCCAGCCAGAAAGGAAGAATATACAATCACTGAAATGAATAATACATTAGATGGAATCAACAGCAGACTAGATGTAGCAGAAGAATGACCTGTGTGTTTGACTGAGGCCACATTCCGAACATTCCTTCCCAGTTGAATCTCAATTCCTTAAAATTCATTTAATTTTAAATGCAGCTGTGATAGAATCACATAGTATTTAAAAGCAAACTAATGGTTTAACTTCCTCCTTCCTAGACAGTCCATCCAACTGTATGCATTTACTTGGTCCTGCTGGTTTGGGTGTGTCTCAAACCCAGGTAGTTATCTTTTAAAGAGATCCACCCACAGCATTCCTGACATATAAATCTGCCACACATTTGTTAGACTTAGGAGCTTTTAAAATTGCCTCACGTTTTACTTTTATGTTCAATTGAGAGAAAATAGTTTAAACCATTTCAAAGTTGAGAGTTGGGTACTATTAAATATAGTGTTCTTATGGCAAAATATTTTTAGATATAGTTTTTTAAAGAGATGATCAGAATGTTCTTTTTCTTGTGTTGTGCTTTTTGTTTCATCCAGCTTAATATTTATAATATTAACTTTTAAATAATTTTCTGTCTTCAGATATTGGCTCATTTCTAATTATTCTCTTCTAAACATTACAACCTTGCTCCTGCATAAAAGTTTAAGTATTAAATATTGACACAAACTTCCACCCCTTTGGGGAACAGATTGATGAAAATCTAAACCAGTTTTATGAATAATTTTCAGTTCATTAGGCCATCAAATTGAGCAGATTCCATGTATCATGCCTATTTGAATGTCTTCCTTTTTCTTTCTTTTTTTTTTTAACAGGGAAAATTTTTTTGTATTTAGAACTAGCCAGCTGGATTCAGTTTAGATGATCCCAGTTATGTTGACAACATCCAAAGCATCATAGTCAGGAGCCAGTAGAACATATGCCTTCTTCTCTCCATCAGGCCTGATCAGGGTTGTTGACCTTGGCCACGTCAATGTCATAGAGCCTCTTCACAGCCTGTTTGATCTGGTGCTTGTTGGCCTTGACACCCACAGTGAACACAAGTGTATTGTCTATAATCTTCTTCATGGCTGACTTGGTAGTTAGCGGGAACTTGGTGATGGCATAGTGGTCATGCTTGTTTCTCTTGGGGGCGCTCTTCCCAGGAGATCTGGGCTGCCTCAGAGCCGCAGTGTCTTGGGCCTTCAGAAGGTGGGTGACGTGCAGATCTTTTTTTGTGGCTGTGGACGCCTTTCAGCACTGTGTTCTGTGCCTTAAAAGGCTTTGCTTTGGCTTTGGCTTTGAGAGGTGCAGGGGCTTCCTTCTTCAGTTTTGGTGACATCTTTGTGAAAAGGGCTTATTTAATGTCTTTTTCGAAAGGCGCTATTTCTTTCTTTTTTAAGCTGAGCCATCCTGCCACCTGTTGGCAGCTCAGCGGCTGCTCAGCTCGGGCTGGACTCGAACCGCTGTTGTTCAGAGCTCAAACTCTTGAGCGAGCTCTTAACCAACTGAGCCACTTGGCCGGCCCGAAAGGAGCTATTTCTTTCCAAACTATGCTAACTTGCAGCATTCAAGTAGCTTTTCCAAACTAACATTACCAGGATACAGTATTCTAAACCATAGTTAGCCCTTGGAGATATATATGGTTGGTTAGTTTCTATAGTTACGTAAATTTTTATTAACTTGCTATTTCCATTATATCTGATCAGGTTGCCTGAGAGGGCAGAGAGAATTTTCTATTCCTTTGGGACTTTTCATGACTCTAGTACAGTGCTCAGTTGAAAAACATGCTCCTGGTAAATTTTGATTGACCATCCTTGCTGCGGCCTGTTATTCAAATAAGATTAACGTTAACACACAAACTGCTCTCCTGGGTTTTTTCTGTAAAACAACATTTCCATTAAAATTAACCAAAAAGTAAAAGTCTTTAAGCTGTGAGATTAGAAGTGCAGTAGCGTGGCATTTGTGTATTAAAATTCAAGTATCCCAAAGGATGATACCAGGGATAATCTTATAGTGTTTGAATGGATACTTAGATGAAGGGGGCAGAACGATTTCATGACAATTACTGATCAGTCTTAACAGTTTTTCCCCTTGTGTTGGATTTCACTTTCTACTTTTTTTTTTTTAAGATTTTATTGGGAAATTGGGGGAGGGGAACAGCATTGGGGAATCGGGGAAGGGGTGTCACGTCCAGCGTGGCAAGGGCAAATGGGACACGAGAGGGGCGGCGCAGATTGAATAAGTACAAGAGACAAAAGTAAGATTTAAGAGCAAGACCAAGGGACTCAGCCTTCAGAGATAGACTGAGCCACCGAATTGGGTCAACGCATGGTTTTTATTGATTCTTTTCAAGGAAGTAAACTGCTGTGCTGTCAGTATACTGGTGCGCCTTAAGGCCTTTTCCAATGACCTTTTCCCAATGTACTCCAGCAAATGCTATGCCTTCGTACTCCACCACATTGCCCCAAGACATAATTACATGTCCTCCCAGGGGAGACAGCTGATATCATTCCATCAGGTCCCAGTCAGGCTGAGACGCCCCCCCAGAGAGCTTTACAGATATCATTCCATCCGGCCTCAGTTTTCCGAGGCACTCTCTCTCGACTAATGGGTCAGAGGCTAATGCAGGGGGGGTGGTCTAAGAATCGGCTGTAAGGCGACAAAGGGGAACAGACAAACTACTGTCCTTTGGTTCTTCAGTCTAGTTGTGGAGGACATTGCTTCACTGGCCCATGTTGGTATTATTATTGTGCTCTTCCCGGGTGAGGCAGATCAGTCGCCAGCCATTGGACGGCTGCTCATGGCCACTCACGCTGGCTGCCAGCCACTCACGGTAGCCCACGGCAGCCCCACTGCAGCCCCACTGCAGCCTACGTCGTCACCGGCGACTCACAACAGCCCAGCTCCATGTCGAGCTGTTGCTCATCATCTTAGCTGTAGAGGGCACAGAGTCACTGGCCCTCATGTGGGATCCGAGCTGGGGCCCTGCTGCTCAGAACTGGAGTCCCAAGCCAACTCTTAACCAACGCACCACTTGGCCGGCCCCTCTTTCTACTTTTATACTGTGCTGGACCACTCTTATGTAAGCATTTTACTTTTGTGTGTAATTTATTTGTGTTACCACTGACAAGAAAGGCTAGTATGAACCACGTGTTTTCACAGGGGCCCAGCGCTGATATTTGGAATACTATGGCTGAGTGGCTTTATTTTATTCTAAAACTGAATTTACTTTTGATCAGTTTATTTGTAAGCTAATATGCTATTTTTCAGGATAATCTTTCTCTGTTGATTTATATTTTTGTTTACTTTATTAGAACAAAGGAAATTATGTATTCTCTAACCATAGTATTTCAGGATTTATTTCATGAAATCAATAACGATAGAAAACAGTTAGGCATTGTTCTTAGGCAGTCCCTCTCCCTCTGTTTTTCTTTGTTTGCTCTTCATCTGAAGCATATATAACTTATTTTTATTGAAAAAATTATGCCCTGCTTGGGTCATAATGGGTTTTTTAAAAACTATTACTTAGAGAATTCTGAAGATATATTTATACAAATCTGTGAGGACTTAGATTTTTAAGTAGAAATCTCTTACTGTGATTGAAATAAACATTTTAAATCTCCCTTTTAGATCCATCATGTTACACAAAATGGAGGACTATATAAAAGACCATTTAATGAAGCTTTTGAAGAAACGCCAATGCTGGTTGCTGTGCTTACTTATGTGGGGTATGGTGTACTCACCCTCTTTGGATATCTTCGAGATTTCTTAAGGCATTGGAGAATTGAAAAGTGTCATCATGCAACAGAAAGAGAAGAACAAAAGGTAATTGTTAGACAATCTTTAATTGTGTAAATGGAAGTCTTTTATAGAAATCTTGGTATTTTATCTCATTTTTTTCTTTAGATTTTTCAGTATATATTAACATAAAAATATGCCAGATGCAGTTAAATAAAAACATTCCACAAAGGATGTTGAAAATGAGGTTAAAGGCATGAAGAAACTAAAGCATTTAACATATTTTTAATTTAATCACCGCAAGAACTTGTTCCTGTTTTATAGCTAAGAAAGTTAAAATTCACAAGTAATGTTAACTTAGATGCCTAGTTTCAGAGCTGGTGTGCAGACACAGGTCTGTGACGTGAAAAAACCCATGTTCTTTCTGTTCACGATACTGTATCCTAAGTTGTGTTTAGAGCCATCTGACAAGATTTGTGTTCTTTAGAACTCATGATGTGTTTTCTCATAGACACATTATACATACATGTCTGGTTTACAGATAAACTCCTCTCCCTAAAGCAAAATGTGGCTGTCCTACTCTGGTTATAGTAGAAAACAACAGAGGTGATCATGCTATCTCTTTGGAGAAGAACCTGCTTCACTTCATTTTCCTCTTTGTACGCCTCTGCGCCTGTAGAGTTTTGTGCAATATACATATATTACTTTTTCTCATAAAGAAATGAAATTATTTATTTGAAAATGCCTGATTTTATGGAAAACAAACATTTTTGTTCTTGGCATGTGAAGTATGGACAGGTTGTCCCTCCAGCCCAGAGAACGTACTAAATTAGAGCAGGGAATCAGAAGTTAGATTCTTTTTTTTTTTTAGCTGGGGCTGGGAATGGAGAGGCTCATTTTGCCTCTTCATCTGCTTTGTTGTTACCTACTGAGCTGAGGCCTGTTCCTCTTTGGTGTCCGTTACAATGTGTGACTCCAGCCCTGTCAGGAAGATGGGCCGCTTGGAGGAGATGGAGAATGAGAGGGCCGTTTGTGATGGGGGACCCTTTTGTGGATAGGAACCCACGCTCCTGCCAGATGGCTGCATGAGAGTGTAAGATATGGTAAGCATATTTGGAATCAGTGTAGATATTGGTCTTCTTTCCTTTGGCTAGAATCAGGGCTCGAGTTAGAGCGATCAGTTCCGCCTTCTTCGAGGTTGTCCCTCTGGGGAGGGGGTTTGCCTCTACCGTGTTTGTAAGGGAGACGATGGCATACCTTGCTGTTTTTGTGCCATCCTGAGTGGTGGAGCTCTCGTTGGTGAACCAGATGAGATCTGAGTCTGGGAGGGGTTCTGCTACAGTTAGGAAAATGGGGTTTAAGATGTTTTACGATCTCTATACAGGAATGTATGAGGGAGTTTGAGGGGTCAGGGAGAAGGGTCGCAGGATTGAGAGGAGGGCTTCTGTCTACCTTGAAGTTGGGTGTTTCTATGAATATGGTGTAAAACTGCTGTACTCTTGATGGTGATAGGTAGCTCATCGCTTTATAGGAAAGGAGGTCCTGTAGATTGTGTGGGCAGTAGATAGTTGTGTCTTGTCCAAAGGTTAGTTTCCTACTTTCCTGTGCTAAGAGGGCAGCTGCCGCCAGGGCGCACAGACAGGTGGGCCATCCTTTCACTGTGCCATCTAGCTCTTTTGACAGGTAGGCTACGGGCCCAAAGGTGGGCCCCTTGTTTTGTCCCAGTACTCCGAGGGCAATGCCTTGTCTTTTAGTTACATAGAGGAGAAAAGGCTTAGACAAGTTTGGGAGGGAGAGGGCAGGGGCAGAGAGGAGAGCTTGTTGAAGAGCTCTGAAGGCCGGGACAATGTTGACAGCGGGGTCTAAGGGCTCTGAAAGGGGACCCGTAGCAGCCTGGTAGAGCGGGTGAGCTAAGAGACCAAAATTAGGGGTCCAGATGCAGAGAAACCCTGCCAGTCTAAGGAAGGAGAGGATTTCTTTTTTTGTGTTAGGAGGTGTGAGGTCCCTAATGAGAGCTGTCTGATCTGCAGTGATAGCTCTCTGGGTGGGGGAGAGTTGAGTCCCTAAGTAGGTTACAGTGGGTGTGGACAGCTGGGCCTTGGTGGGGATACCCGGTATCCTGTAGAGCAGCGGTTCTCAACCTGTGGGTTGCAACCCCTTTGGGGGTCGAATGACCCTTTCACAGGGGTCGCATAAGACCCACCGGAAAACAAAAAGATACTTACATTACGATTCATAACAGTAGCAAAATTACAGTTACAGAGTAGAAGCGAAAATAATTTTATGGTTGGGGGTCACCACAACATGAGGCACTGTATTAAGGGGTCGCAGCATTAGGAAGGTTGAGAACCGCTGCTTTAGAGACTTGGAAATTTAGTAGGGAGGCTGTGTGTCAGAGGGATAAGGTGTGTGAGGGACTACAGAGAAGTAGATCATCTATGTATTGTAGGACTGTACTGGAGGCTAGATCGAGGGAGGCCAGATCTGAGGCAAGTGCCTGGCCAAAGAAGTGAAGGCTGTCATGGAAACCTTGTGGGAGGACCGTCCAAGTGAGCTCTCTGGATTGTAGGGTGTCGGGGTCCGTTCAAGTGAATGTGAAAAGGTCCTGAGAGTCTGGGTCGGAGTGGGATGGTAAAGAATGCATCCTTGGGCTCTATAACTGTGAAATGAGTGGTGGTAGAAGGGATGAGAGATGGAAGCGTGTATGGGTTGGGGACTACAGGGTGAATGGGAAGTACCGCGGAGTTGATGACTGGGAGGTCCTGGACCAACCTATATGTTCTATTGGGCTTTTGTACTGGCAGGATGGGGGGATTGTATGGAGAATGGGTGGGTCTTAGGAGGCCTTGGGCAAGGAGTCTGTCAATAATAGGTTTGAGTCCCTTTTGATGGGGGAGGGAAATGGGGTATTGTGGCTGGTTTGGGAATTTAGAGGGGTCACGAAGCTGAATCCTTATGGGAGGATGGTGTTTGGCAACAGAAGGAGTCGAGATATCCCACATGAGGGGTTGACCTCTGAAGGGGGCAGAGTAGGTTGGAGGGGAGATGAGGAGGTGGCAGAATCAAGGAGGAGGAGGAAGGGCTGGCTCTGGGCTTGGGAGATGAAGGCGAGTGAGGCATTAAACTTGGAAAGAAGGTCCCTTCCTAGTATAGGAGTGGGACATAGGGAAAGGATCAGGAAGGAGTGTGAAAATAGAATGTTAAAAAGGGTGCATGATAGTAAGGGGGTTGAGAGAGGCTGAGATATTAGGCCGTCAACGCCTACAACAGAGCAGAAGTTAGATTCCGTTTGTCCATCATACCTCTCACTTTTGTGGGGTACTGGTTGAGAGAGGCAGATGTGGTGGCAACAAGGTCACCACGGAGAGAGGAGCCAGTCAACACTGGGAATGCACTGTAGTCACGTGGAGGGAAGGGGAAGAGAGCATCCAGAAACAGAGAGAGGAAAGGACCTCACCAGCAGCGAGGCAAAACCAGCCAGTATACGGATTGAAGGCTCTGGCCCTGGGAGAACTCAGGACCCAAGCGTTCTTCACTCCTCATCTCAACCATTCTGCACCCTTCCCAGCACCAGCAGAAGTTGGCTGTCCTACTCATTGTCCTGAAATGCCTACAAGTTAATTTCATTAAGAAGGTGTGTTTTTGAATACCTAACACAAGCAAAGCCTGCATTCAGACGTCGATCCAGTTGACCGAACTAATTTTCATCATTGAAAACCAGAATAAGCTAAAAATTTACTTAAATCTCTTTTTTCCTACCCCTCTATATCCCAAACAGACTTTTGGGCTAGCGTGCATCCACAGTATGTTGATTTATATATATATATATATATATATCCCTCAGGTATGGTTCACTTACTATAACTTAGAACTTGCTATACACTTACTGTGTTGTAAGGTGTTGCAACTATTTGCTTGCAGGCCAGTATCTTCCCACTAGACTGAGTTGGTGGCAGTTACGACTGATGGGAGCTCAAGTTCTATTTACATATTGAAATTAGAAGATTTTTATCTTAGTGTCAGTACATTGTAGAGACCTAATAATTGACATGTAGAGGTGAGGGGTCAGGGGAAGTGCTGACTGTGATGTAGAGAGCATTCCTGGCTCAGGAGATAGTGTAGGCAAAGGCCTGAGGAGTGTTTCCGGACAACGCAGAATGTGGGTGTGTAGAAATGGTGTATTGAAAGAACTAAGAAGTTTGGTAAGCAGTAAGGAGTCAGCAGTTTCTGAGCAGGAGAATGACCATAGTTTGCACAGCTGTGCTCTGTCAAGTGTGACAAGGAAGGAAGGAAGGGAGGGAGGGAGAGGGGATACATCTGAATTACTTTGTGAATGAATACGGTATCTTTGGAATTGTGTCATGTTTCAGGGTAAATGCACTGTTTTAAGTATTGGGGCTATCTGTGTGTACTAACTCAGTGACAGAATTGCAACACATAGATTTTATTCTTAAGTTTCTAATTTTGTGGAGGAAACAAACACTTCAAATTTAGGGGCTTTTGCAAAGCTCTGCAGGTAAGTAATGCATGGATTGTATGCAGATGTAGAACAACAACAATAACAAACTGAGAAGCATTGGGTTAATCGGGGAAATAATTTCCTGAAGGAGTAGTAGGACAAAACATGCAGGACAAAGGGGGTCATTTGCCTCTACAGTTTGTTCAGAAGAGGACTAGACTAATTGATTTAAATTTCTTTCAATAGGATTTTCACAGTCAGTAACATCAGCAGTTAAAACAGATAAATGCTGCCATTTTCTTATAAAAATTCAGCTTTTAAAGGGAAAGGAAGAATCAATCAGTGTTAATGTAGATCATGTATTTTTTTTCGGATACTGGATTAGATGTAGTCGGGGATAGGCAAACTTTAAACTGTTACACTGGCAAGAGGTGAGAGAAAGTGCTTGCTTGGGATCATAAAATGCAAACATAGTGTTACCACTTCCTCGTTTCACTGAGTGAGTGGTGTTCATAACTACATCCTTATTTTCTTCCTCATTCCATTACAAAGGAGAGCCCATTTTAACTATTTATGCTAGTTCTTCTTGATATGTTGCTTTGGGTAGAACTGAAAACCACATGGTTCT